GAGTGCTTGCCTCACATACACAAAGCCCAGCACCACCCAAAAAGGTGTGGGAGGTTGAGAGGGGGGTGTGCTGGGGATGTAGCTCAGTGTTTAGTACCCCCGAGTTCAATCCCCGGCCACACACACACACACACACACAAAATGCTGGAGATGTAGCTCATGGTAAAGAATCCCTGGGTTTGGGCTGTGGCTGTGACTCAGTGGTAGAGCACTTGCCTCACATTTATGAGGCACTGGGTAGGATTCTCAGCACCACATATATAAAATAAAGATCCATTTAAAAAATATCTGAGTTCAATAAACCGTAACTGGCTATAAAATCCTCACTCCTCCTGCCCACCATATATAATGAATACATCTTCAGAACCTGGGACACTTCCCTCAGGGGAGACTCCCAAAGGAGCAAAGAGTTACTTCTACCTTTAAAGCTTTAGACATTTTCCAAAGTTATGAGATATTCAGTTATTATTTATCCAAAATAGTACAGTGGTATCATTTTAATAGTGTTACTGCTCATCTCCCCAAGTTTATAGTTAAGCAGTTCTATTATTCTGGCACAGAATACTATTTATCTGCCATATCATTTCTAAGCATTGAGTCCCCTCAAGCATTTGGAGACTAATATATACCCAACTTTAGTTTAATGCTTTCCTCTTATGTAGCCCTTTAAAGTGGCTGGGTTATATTCTGGTGTGGACTATAATTAATCTGTTCCTTCTTCCTTTTTTGGGGGGTGGGGTGGGGTGGGTGGGTAACTGAGGATTTAACTCAGGGCCAATTTACCACTAAGCCACATTTCCAACCCCTTTTGAGACAGTGTCTCACTACATTGCTGAGTTGGGCCTCTGCCTCAGCCTCCCAAGCTGCTGGGATTGCAGGTGTCCTAGCTTCTATGATTACCTTATTTGGTCTAATGTCTTACTAATTCTACAGGGTTACTAGCAAAATAAAGCCTATTTCAGAGATATCTACTCTGTTTCTTAGGGTCAGTTTGTCAGTACAAATACACAGCTTTTAAATAATGCTGGTAAATGAATAGAAATGGAGAAAAATCGTGCTGTGTGAAATTACCCATACTCAGAAAAAAATCAAGAGCCGCATGTTTTCTCTCGAGTATGGAAGCCAAAGCAAAATAAGGGAAAGATGGCAGGAAGGAGGTTGAATATGATAAAGATGTAAGACATCAGTAGAATAGAAGGAAAAGGAGGGAGGAATGAGGGGAAAGGGATAGAAATGAGGAATCAAATTATAGCTTGTTACACACATGTACAAGGGTGCCAAAGAGTTTTTCATCTGCAATAAATATGTGGAAAACAGCAATCAAAAATAAATAAGCCAAGGGGCTGGGGATAGAGCTCAACTGGTATAGTGTTTGCTTCACATGCACAAGGCCCTGGGTTCAATCCCCAGCACCAAAAAAAAAAAAAAAAAGAAAGAAAGAAAAAAATAATAAATAAGCCCAGTCCAGCCCAGTGGCTGGCACACGCCTGTAATCCCAGCAGCCAGGGAGGCTGAAGCAGGAGAATCACGAGTTCAAAGCCAGCCTCAGCAATGGTTAGGCACTGAGCAACTAACTCAGTGAGACCCTGTCTCTAAATAAAATGCAAAACAGGGCTGGGGATGTGGCTCAGTGCTCCTGGGTTCAATCCCCAGTACCAAAACAATAAATAAAATAAAATAAATAAGCAAAGGCATGAAAGAAATATCAGTAGAAGAGAGGAGAACAGGGGGAGGAACCAGGGGAGGGAAGGAGAAGGGGGATGGAGACTGAACCAATGTCCTTGCATACATTACTGTCAAAATGAACCCCAAATACTATGAGCATTATAATGCTCTTTAAAAAAAATTAAAAAGCTCCTAGGATATTGTGTGTTCAAATATATAACAATCTCACAATTACATATGATCTAAACACCAATAAAAACGTGGAAAACTTGTCCAATAAGAGCTCCTGGGGAACTAGGCATAGTGGAACATGCTTGTAATCCCAGCAACTGGGGAGGCCGAGTAAGACAGGAGGATCACAGATTTAAGGCTAGCCTTGGGAAATTAGAAAAAGCAGCTCCTGGTAGCACAGGGTGTAACTGAGTACTACAGCATGTGCTAGGCATGCATGAGGCCCTGTGTTCAACCCACAGCACCAAAAATAAAAGAAACAAACTCCTGAATGACACACTTAATGAATTAATACATCAATAATACAGAGCCAATGAACAAGTCAAGATTCTTACACCAGTGATTTCTACATCAAACTTGTTAATATTCCCTGTTCCTACCATTTAATCATAATAATTCTATACTTATTTAAGCAGATTAAGCAATTTAATATAATAAGGGCTCAAACAGTATATATACACACACCCCCAAAAAAAGGCACTGTCCTCCCCCCCAAATTTCCATGTTAAAGGCTTGTATTCATTTTTTCTGTAATGTTCATGTTAGGACAGTCTGCATTCCTGCACTGCTATACTCTTACTATAAAATTATTAAATGACAGCATAAGAACAAGAGTGAGCTTTGTACTTTTTCGTTATCGTCTCAAAACTTCAGAGCCTGGCCCATTTTTTCCATTGCTCTGTGACCAGAAAAAGAAATACCTGCCCCTTCATACACAAATTAAACCTTTATATAAAACTGTCTTTATATTTTTATATAATGTATAAAATATGTAAACTATATATGTACCAACTCCTCCCCGTTCTGTCTGTCTGAAGAACAGAACGATCACCATTCTTACCAGCAGCCTGTGTACAAAACACCTCTATATGATGAAACCTAGGCCACACCAGTCAGTCTTTCTGGGCTTGGGAATAGTTTGTTTCTATGGTGTGAGGAACAAACTGGATTTTCAGTCAATGGAATGAAGAGCTAGCATGTCCTCAACCTTGAGCAAAGGCCTGTGCAGGCAGCTCAGGAAGGGAATGAGCAGCTCCCACACCCAGGAGCCACTTATGCCACTGACACTGTTTTCCAAGAGGGCTTCTGAACTTCCAGGTGGAAGTTGGAAATGGCCAATGCACTGAGGTTCCATAAACAAATCAACCAACCAAAAGGCCTCAGACAGAAAGATGTGTCTACCACCCAGTCTTCAGATCACTTCTTGAGTATTGGTGCTAAAGCACTGTAACCCAGAGCCAAAAGGTTCGTGTTCGTTCTCTCTCTCCCTCTCACAAACACACACACACACACACACACACACACACACACACACAGTTATATGAGGACCTTCAGTGTCCCACCTCAACTCATCTGCCATCTGGCTCTTCCACCCAAAGTGCCCCGTGACCTACTACTCAAATTAATGCCAGCCACATACTATTAACTAACATTTGACCCCCATTGGCTAGGTCTAGAATGTTTTCCACTCCCACAGCAGCTTCTTAGCATGATATTTAATTTAGAAAGTTGAGCATGACAAACAGCCATCTTCTGCCCCTTTTCTCAACAAAAAGTTCACCTCTGAGATTTCACCATTTTAACCACCCTTCATAAGGTTCCAACAAATCATGACACTCCTTTTTCTCCAAGAATGGCTGAGCTCACAAAGTGCAGAGAGAACCAGCAGTTCTCTCACTTGTGGTTCAAGGAACCCTGGAATATTTTCACAAGGACAAAAAGGGGTGAATAAAATTTTACCATTTAACAGGTGAGGACGAGACACCTATAGCCCTTGAAGCTTCCCAGGAAATGCACCATGGAGGTTAGGCACCAGAATCTAGGAGGTTCTGGTGGGGAACTGTGGACGTACTAATTGTAGTGGCTTAAAAACAGAATACACACTGGGCTTGGTGGCTATAAGGAAGGAGGATGCAAGTCTGAAACCTCTCAGCAACTTAGACCCTGGTGCAAAAATTTTTAAAGGGCTAGGGTTATAAGTCAGTGGGAAAGCGCCCTGGGTTTAATTTCCAGTAGGGGGAGCGAGGGCAGAATACACAAGCTCTTCATCGGCTCTCTTCATCTGCGTGGACACCAATATACTGTCATACAACAAAGTGACAACCTGAATAGCAACCCCTAGGCATTGTGAAGGTCTTTTTAAGGAAAACTCTGGTTTTCCTTAAAAAACGGTGACAGAATGAGTCACTCCAGAAATACAGACTCTTCAATTTCAAAACTGCAACGTCAGAAAATCTGACTCATAAGAAAAGACTGTTTCAATATCATGCAGATGAACTGATAACTGCTTAGAAACTCATTGAATAAAACCTGCCCTTCTCCAGAGTATATGATCTCCATTCTTCAGCTCTTCCAAATACGGAACATATTTTCTTAAATGATTCACCTATTCAAGTCCTCCAGAAAGTAAATAATAAAAGTTTCCCGTGCAATCTCTGCTAGAGCTTATTGAGCAATTTCTCTTGACTTCAGCCTTATCCTACAAGGGGAATGTATGCCATGATTTTCTGATTCTTAAAACCTTGTCACCTAGATCAGACAAGAAGATTTAAAAACAATCCAGGTACACTATTACCTAACCATTTTAAGAGACCTTTGTCAGCTCTCAATAACACATATGCCCCTCCTTAACCCTAAAATTATAGAAATTCAACAGACAAGGGTTTTAAATAACCAAGTCTTGATCACCCAAAGACACTCTGGAAATTGTATTGAAATGCTTTGTGTTCATCACTTCTCATCTGTAAATAAGCAAATCTGTTTAGGGAGTACCCTTGCCCAAGAAGCATTAAGTGTCCAGTTTCTGCAATCCTGGTTGAAGAATACCAATGTCTACTTGAATTTGGGGAAAAGGCTGAAATTTCAGGTAACATAAAGGTATGTGATGGGGCCCATCTAGGTGTGGGGGGATCTAATAACTTGGGTCACATCCCTATCATCCTCCCAGGACAGTGCTAGGTACCCTGCATGGATGACACATGCGCTCCTTGTGGTCATTATTCCACGTGCCCCCACATCCCAGTCCGCCCAACTGTCTCCACATGCCGACTGACAAGTAGAGGGAAAGGTTCCCGGTAGGATCAGTGAAAGGTACGGAGGCTGACCTGGATTGCCTGGCGTCCCTGCTGGGCATCTGCCAGCAGCTGGATGGTGAGTGCCCTCGAGTCCTGCAGCGCCTCCTGGAGGTAGATGAAGCTGTGGCCACCGTGTCGGCCCATTGTGCACTCCCGACAGATGGGCACAGAGCAAGTGTCACAGTAGAGGTGCAGCACCTGGGGACCAGAGAGAGGACACGTATGAGAGGTGCAGGGTGCAAGAGAGGAGAAAGCAACAGTGGTACCCTGGGTCCCAGAACCCAAAGGACCCTCTTCCCAACAAGCAGGCACCCTCCTACAGGTGCTTCCCTCTCGCTCTGCCCAAAAGCTAGCGGGGTAGCCCACCTTGGGTTGCGGGTTCAGTCATATCCCAAAAATTTTGGCCATAATCATAACTGAAATACTTCGACAAAGATACGGATGGAAACAAAACAACTCTCCGGGCATGAAGGATTTCCCGGCAACTCAGCTTAACCATCCAGATACGTCGTAAAACTATGTCCCCTGATTGCAAGAATATCAAAAGTTTCTGTGGCACTCCAGTCACTGGGTGTGTGTTAAACATACCCAATGGTCAAGAGCCAGTTGATGATGAGGAGGAGGAGGACAAGGTAAATATGGGACTGTAGCTCAGTGATAGATCTCTTGCCTTGTATTCCTGAGGCACTGGGTTCGAAACTCAGCACCACATAAAAATAAATGAAGATAGATATTGTGTCCATCTACAACTAATATATATGTATGTGCATATATATATATATGGTAAATAAATAAAAACACCCCATGTGAAGGGTTAGGCACACAGCTCGCATCTCCTGGGCACTCCACAGAGTTAAGGTACTGGAACGGACATAAAGCTAGTGTTAAAGCCAGCCAGCTTCTTGCCTTTCTTCTTCCTGCCAAGTTTTCCTAAGAAGTTGAACCTGAGAGGCAGCCAGTGCTGAGAGAACTACTGTTATGTGATGTTATACTCTTCCCTGGGGCCCTGCATCTGGGAAGCAGAGAGAAGGGCTGGCGCAACCCTCACCTGTTGATAAACAAGGCACTCTTGAGAAAGCATGCTCCTTGGCACAGGGGACCCGTGTCCGGCAAGGAAACTTTTAGTGTGCAAGGAACCCGGGTGCTTTCCATATAGAGCAGCACATGTATATCTCCGGGTGAGGGGAGGCTGTGGCGTGCTCAAGGGCTACACAGTTAGCAAGGACACAGTCAGGAAGCCAGCTCGGGCCTTCTAAAGAGCTGGTTCCAACAGAAGCATGGTCCTGGCTACCTCATTCACCAGGCAAGGTGGAGCTCCAGGGTGTGAGCCTCAGGGAGAGGCTGAACAGGAAGCAGCCAGGGAGGTGGAAGACAGACTGAGAGGCCTGGAGGCAAGCCTGAGGGCCCCGCCCAGAGAGGGGCTGGGGATGAGGCAAATAGTGGAAAAGAGGCTGCTTCTCTCTTGAGGTTTTTATTTTCTTAAACATCCAAAACTGTAGCAGGTCCATAGGAAAACATCCTCCCGCATGGCTCAAGAAGGAGCTGCTCCACTTGGGGCTATTGACAGGGAAGTTTTGTGGTCCACCATGCTTAGACTTAGAAACTTAAAAGTTTAGTAGAAACTTAAAAGTTTAGAAGAAACTTCTGGATTCAGAAACAAGAAAAGTTAAAAGCTTTAGGATATTGTTTTTTTTTTTAAATTAATTTTGTAAAGAAGTGGATCTGATGTAGGAGGTTTTACAGACTCCATACGATTATATAGACTCTACACAGGGAAATGTGAAAAAGTTCCTAACTCCACTACCAGGTGAGAGAGAGCACTGCAGTACTTTTCCAACAACAGCGTAGCCTGAAGCCAGGTGGTGAGGATTTGCCTCCCTCAAGGCCAATTGCTTTTTAAGCAGGTCCACCTTTTTAGAGATGAGCTAATCCTTCTAATCTGTTAAAACTAAAAAATTCTCAAGCAAAGTCTAAATACTAACCAAAAGATGCTAAGCTGGATAAATCCAGGAAAAATTCCTGGGCAGCCCTCCTCCACCCACCCAACCCCCTTTTATGAGGTGGTGCTAAAGCAATTCTACCAGTTTCAACAACCTCAGCCACATTCCTTCCCTTTGCTCCCTCCATTTGTCATGGGAATAAAGGGATCAATCCTATGCTAATGTGAAGTGTGAAAACCTTCTATCAGAAGGTTCCTTTTAAAATTAGAATAAAACACAGCTCTGAACCCTCAGAGGTCTTCCCCTTTCTACCAATCAGCTACGCAACTTGAGACCATATCTATTTTCTTTACATCTTTTCTCAGGACAGCTGTGTGGACTGGCCAAAGGCCCCTAGCTTCCTTCAGGCTGTGGGTTCATGCAAACATAACAGCCTAGGACCGATCTGCACTTCAAGGCCGGGGAGTGGAAAAGAACCTCCGGCTGTTAACCAGAGGCCGGCCCCGACCTGGCTGTGGGGCCATCTGTCCAGTCACCTCCTTTGACCTGCCTGAGCTTCAATCTCATCTGTGAAACAAACAGGGGGTCTGACTAGGAGACCCTTTCCAACCCTAAAATCCCAGGACCCCTCTCTAGGGACTTGACAACAGAAACCAAAGGGCTTCCAAGTAATTCTGGGCTGAACTAGGAAGCTGGGCCTGGACTGCAGTTGTGCAATTGCAAGAAGTTTTCTGAAGCTTGTTTGTTTGACCTTAAAACAGCTCATGTGATGTGCATAGGAGATCCCCTGTGAATGGTTAAGTCTTAAAAGACTCTGTAGTTACACTGGCCAGAAAAGAAATTCTGGCCAAAATAGGTGATGGCAGGAAAGAGATAGGGTGTCCAGAGCCCCTGGCACCAAACTTTTCCATACCCTCCCTGGCTTGAGAGCCTGGATGCCTCCATAATATGTCAAAGGAGGCCTTGCATGCAATCCCACCTGGCACCGTTTGACATGGGATCAGAGAGCCAGTGCTTCTGCCATTCCAGGCTTCCCCAGCAGCACCCAGAACTTACTTAGCATGCATGAGTCCCTGGGTTTCATACTCAGCATCACAAAAAAAAAAAAGAAAGAAAGAAAATGAAAGTGGGGATGGGTGGGGGGGCTCCAGATAACACATAGGCTATTGTATTTAATCAATTATAATTTTTAGAAAGAATGCATGGTCCAAAATTGTAAGATGAAATCAATTCTTGTGAGTTCTCCAGCTAAAAGTTGGGATAAAACTGGGAAGATTTCACAGCTCATTTAGGAGTTCCACATCTTATCTGCCTATAATTTCTAATATTGAAAAACCACAACTTCAAAGCTTAAAACACAATCCTTAGGTAAGCGTGTACATGGTTGCAATTTTCTTTGCAAGAACTGGAAGATTATTTTAAAGGAAGAAAGTAGACCATTGCAGAGGGTCCTGTGGCCAGAAATGTGGCAGCAGCCATGAACTGCTTCTCCTGGGACTGACCTGGGGTGGGGGTGGGGGTAGGTGGGGGATGGGCAAATGGGGAAGAAGTCCTCTGGCGGCAGGAATTCCAGGGCCTAACACTGCCCATTTGGGGCTTCCCAGGCAGATGCATGGATACGCCCCTTCAGGCCTGGCGACAATCTGGCTGCCCCAGCTAAATGGAGCAGGTTTGACCTCTGACCCTACTAGTGACCACCCTCTTCCCTGCCCCCAGCTTCCAGAACGTCCCACCCACTGCCTTCCTCTCCCAAAATTTCTAAAATACCAGGCAGAGACAAAGACCTAGGAATGTAGGCCCAGCAGGAAAGGAACTGGGGGTGGGGGAAGGTTAAAAGAAAAATAAATAAATAAAAATACAAAGTAGGCAGGTTTGCTTCAGCCCGTGATGAAATAAAGTGCTTTGTTCATGAACAAGGCGTTCATGTGTGTATGCTCTCCTGGAACCCAGTTTTATACTGTCTGTGGTCCAACAAGGGGCACACACACCCTGGGCCTCCTATTGGAGCCCCCCCACACACATCTGAAGAAAGAGCATCAGGTTTAAAGTACAGCTACCCATATCAAAAGAAGAATGTAAACTAAAAGGAAGGAGGGGGCAGCTTCTGATTGCCACGTGGTTTCAAGTTCATCAAAATTCCTTAACTGAGATATAGAAACTGCTGAAAATTTATTTTTTCAGATAGATTCCACATCCCTTAAAAACGATCAAGGCTATTTACTTGGCCTCACACAGACTAGGGCTGTCCAGTAACTCCTGGACAGAAGGAGCTCTCTTTACTCACCTAAGGGGAGGGGGGGTGTCTCGAGTTTCCCATTACAGAAAGGCAACAAATAAAATCATAAATCAAGTTGAGCATGTAAAGTCTACCATGAAACAAAGTCAATGACTTAACATCAAAACCAAATGATTTTAGATATAAGACTGAATGCCACTCTTCTGAAACCCAAAGTCCAAACCCTCAGCGGCCCCCACCCCTCAAAACCAGGCCATGTGCTACCCTGTATCCCTGGCCTGGGAGGCCCATAGAGAAGGAGGGAAGGAAGTAGAAACCTATTTCATGCACCACCATCACCACCAGTTCAAGAGGAGATCTGCTGAGGACAAATGACCCGGGGCTGGGGGGTGGGTTTCCCCAAAATATCTTTGATTTAAATAGATAGCATAATTTATTTAAAAACAAAAATATAAACAAATGCAAGTACTTTTTCTAAATCTCCCCAGTGTAGAGCCCAATGTGGTGGTGTTCCCCTGTAGTCCTGCCTATAGCAGGAGGATCTCCTGAGCCAAGGAGGCCAGCCTGAGGAAGTTTGTGAGATTGTTCATTTAAAAACAACAACAAAAAAAAATCTGCTTCTCAATGTCTACTGATAACCCAAAAATATGCCAATTTTTATGGACTCTACACATTTTTAAGTATGCAGAACTTTTTCACTTAACTATATTATTAACTTGCAGAATGTGTGTCACTCTGTATTATAACTGCCTATTTTTTCCTTAATAGTTGCGGGGTATGTTGTCATACCAATTTATCATAATTTAAAAGTTTTGACAGGCATGGTGGTGCACGCGTGTCATCCCAGCATCTTAAGTTCAAGGATAGCCCAAGCAACTTAGGGAGACCCTGTCTCAAAACAAAAAGGGCTGGATGTAGCTCAGTAGTTGAGCACCACTTGGTTCAGTCCCCATTATCCCACCAAAATCTTCCTATTTCTTTGCAGGGGGAGGAGAAGCAATGCCATAATGAATACCCTTGTT